ATGAGTATGTATGCCAGACAAGCTCAAGAAAAGATTAATAAAATCTTCTACCTGAATTTTTGTTGTTATTCTCCTCCCCATTGTTATTACAAAACTCAGTCAGGCAAAAGAAACTTGCTCCTAGACTTTCTTACAGCTCCTTTTGATTTTTTTTTTTATAACCATATATTCCAGGGACTCGAGCTATGTCTCTCTGGATGAGTAATTTTGAAATTTGTCTCTCTATGCTGCCAGGGGTTAAATTGGACTGGGGAAGAATTCAGTCTTTGACAAATCTGATTTTGGAGGATGTTCTCTTACAGCTTTCTTCTGACACTTCTCCTTGAGGTGGCAGTGTCCTTCACAGGGGCTCTTAGGGGGAAGATGCGATCCTTAATCCAATGAAACTGAGCAGAGCCTGGAGTTTGCAATCATCAGGATTTCCCCACCAAGAAATGTGGTATATCTGCCATTGCACATGCTGATGTTCCCCCCTCAATGCTGACTGCATCCCTGCGTAGAAGAGAGCCATGTGCATTGCCGGTGGCAGCATGGGAGGCAGTGAGCAAGAGCAGGGCACCCACCAACCCACCACAACTTCTGTTCCTCCTTGCCTTGTGTCCCTGGCCACACACAGCTCATCTGTCCCCTCTCTCAGGCCATGCAACCTGCCCCACAGCTAAGGCTAAAGCAACGCTGGGTCCTTGGGGACCACAGCCCAGGGTCCGCAGCCGGGACTGATCAAAGCTCTGCAGCCATGCAGGTCCCCTAGGAAGATGTCCTCTCCTCATGAACTGTCATTGTTTGGGAAGGAGGTGGGTGGGAAGGCAGGTCCTGTGCAGTGACATCCTGGGGGGCTGAGCACTCTGCTGCATGTGCTGAGGTCCCCCACCAGTCCCAAGCTCTGGGGATGGGTGTGGATGAGGGGATCCTTGCCTCCAGCACCCACACAGACACATTTCTCTGCACCAAATATGATCCAGACAATTCAGGAATTATTAAAATAAGTATTTCTGGTTCAAAGTAGAATGAAAATTTCAAAAGTAGTTTACTCATCTGTTATTTCTGCTTCCAGCACTCAGCAATCTATTTTTATTCATCTGCCCTTGGCATACAAGCATCTGCGATTAATACTTGTATTTATGATGACTCTAACTGACACGGACATTCGTCCTCAGGAAAAGAAAAAAAAAAAAAAAACAGGAAAAAATTCTTTCATAGTCATTTTAAATTAATCCTGCAAGCCTGGGAATCACTGATGATATTTCATGTATTTTCCATGAAATTAATGTAGTTTCAGAGGTTTTCTGCTCTCACAGGAGTATATGACAGTACTTTGTAACAGGCAGTGCTGGCTGTACTCACCTACTTGTCATGTTTCTACTTGGAAGTACTTATTCCTGTATCAACCATCATCTGGTTTATTACCTTAGTGCCTAACCACCTTGGATGAAGGGAGGCTTTTGTCCCTGTTGGAGCTCAATCAGAGCAGGCCAGCAAAGGACAGAGGATGGAGATAAAGTGTCCTCCTGGGCACTGCTGCTGTTGCTGTCACATGTGGGAGGCCACGTCCCCTCACTGCTGGGGCAAAAGTTACCAGCTCAGCCCCTCTCCTGCCTGGCCTCCATGGGTGTAAACCACACCAATGGCATGAAACAGCTGGAGGAAGCATCTGGCCCAGGATAGAATTATTCTGACATGTTTATTCTGGGAGATGGCAGTAGCCCCTGACAGCCCATGTCCACAGCTCACAGGGGTGAAGTGAAGCAGAGTGTGTCTGGTCCTCCACTCGAAGGACAGTCTGCCTGCCCAGGAACCACAGGAAAGCAGGCCAGGAGCTGCAGATGGATGGGTGCATGGGACACAGGGCAGGCATGCAGGACACAGGGCAGGGAGCTGCAGGACACAGGGCAGGGAGCTGCAGGACACAGGAAAGGGAGCTGCAGGACATGGGGCAGGGTGTGCAGGACACAGGGCAGAGAGCTGCAGAACACAGGGCAGGAAGCTGAAGAAGACAGGGCAGGTCAGGGAGCTGCAGAACACAGGGCAACGTGTGCAGGAGACAGGGCAGGGAGCTGCAGGACACGGGGCAGGGAGCTGCAGGACATGGGGCAGGGCGTGCAGGACACAGGGCAGAGTGTGCAGGACATGGGGCAGGGACCTGCAGGACACGGGGCAGGGAGCTGCAGGACACGGGGCAGAGTGTGCAGGACCCGGGGCAGGGAGCTGCAGGACACGGGGGAGGGCGTGCAGTACACGGGGCAGGGTGTGCAGGACACGGGGCAGGGAGCTGCAGGACACGGGGTAGAGTGTGCAGGACATGGGGCAGGGAGCTGCAGGACACGGGGCAGGGAGCTGCAGGACACGGGGTAGAGTGTGCAGGACACGGGACAGGGTGTGCAGGACACGGGGCAGGGAGCTGCAGGACACGGGGTAGAGTGTGCAGGACATGGGGCAGGGAGCTGCAGGATACGGGGTAGAGTGTGCAGGACATGGGGCAGGGAGCTGCAGGACACGGGGCAGAGTGTGCAGGACACAGGGCAGGGAGCTGCAGGACACGGGGTAGAGTGTGCAGGACACGGGACAGGGTGTGCAGGACACGGGGCAGGGAGCTGCAGGACACGGGGTAGAGTGTGCAGGACATGGGGCAGGGAGCTGCAGGACACGGGGTAGAGTGTGCAGGACACGGGACAGGGTGTGCAGGACACGGGGCAGGGAGCTGCAGGACACGGGGTAGAGTGTGCAGGACACGGGACAGGGTGTGCAGGACATGGGGCAGGGAGCTGCAGGACACGGGGCAGAGTGTGCAGGACACAGGGCAGAGTGTGCAGGACATGGGGCAGGGTGTGCAGGACACGGGGCAGGGAGCTGCAGGACACGGGGTAGAGTGTGCAGGACACGGGACAGGGTGTGCAGGACACGGGGCAGGGAGCTGCAGGACACGGGGTAGAGTGTGCAGGACATGGGGCAGGGAGCTGCAGGACACGGGGTAGAGTGTGCAGGACATGGGGCAGGGAGCTGTAGGTCATGGGCAGGGAACTGCAGGATATGGGGCAGGGAGCTGCAGAACAGCAGACTGGGCAGCACCGAGGGTGGTGCAGGACTTTCCGGGACTGTCAAGCTGGGCTATGCTGGTCTGGAGGCTCTGCCCTGCACCGACGGGCACCCAAAACTGACTCTGTGTAGTGATCCCAAATGCCAGCAAGTACTCCAGGATTTCCTTTTGGATTAGTCCCAAAGCTACCCCCATAAACCTCACTGATACCATGCTGGCATCTACTCAGAAACTGTTCAAACATAACAATAAATGTAGTAAGAGCCCAAATCAAGGCATCTCTTCCACTTTCAGAGGCCATTTATCACCACTTGACACTAACTACTTCTAAATAAATGTACTTCCAAGGAAAAAAAAAGACATTTCAATTTTCTGCTGACAGTAACATAAGAGATACTTTCCTGGAAATTTTTGCTGATAGGTAACAAGGCCAAACCCATCCCAGCTGCATTTCCATGTTTGTGAATTCCTTTCTTCAGCAATGAATTTTGTATTCTTGGTTTCTTACCTGACAGACTGGGACCATGACTGAGAGCCAGAAATACTTTTATAAATAATGTGTTCAACAGTTGACATGTACAGACTATTATGGATGTGTTTGTTATTCTGCTCTCTTTTAAAACATGCATTCTTTTCTCATTATTGAAATAACCAAGCACAGTTATGTGTCTCAGTACATAAGCTCTCTGGACGAAGCCCCTGCTGACCTGGTGCCCTGTGACACATTGGATCCAGCAGAAGAAACAGAGACCTTCACCTTCCCCTCAACTACAGGTTCCTCCTGGCTGTCCTTTCATGTGGGAACATGGGGAGATGGTATTTCTAAAATAATCTCCATGAAATAAACCCAGTTCTCCTAACTCATATTCCTAAAACACAAATTCTGGGATCAGAACTAAGTGTTTTACATGGCACTTTATCACTTTGTGGCCTTTTCTTGAATTCAGAATTTCTTTGGAGGAGCATCATGACATACAGAGATGGGTCCTGTAGGCTTTCTGCAAGGTGACAAGTAGCATCTGGCAGTAAAATATATATGAAGTCCTTGTATGTATAGAGTTATGAAATAACAGTGAGAAAGCTGAACAAAAAAGATAAACTACAGCAAGAAAAAAAAATCTAAAATCCACAGGAATGCCTTCTATTTGAATTCTACTAGCAGAAGAAATGTGCAACTGGATGGTTTTAATTAAATATTTTTTTGATCCAAATTACTTCTGTGTCATGTATATGTCTATGTAGTTGGAAAGTAGATCTGTCCTCAGCCAGCTAGCCCTGACTGCATTAGCTTTTACTTTTTCCTGCTTTAATGTGACAATAGTACTACGGCTGAATTAGCAGTCAGGTGTCTACTTATAGGAATAAGAAGTAACTGTGTTTTTCTGGCCAAGTGATACACAGGGGTCTCAGTTCTCAAATTCATCAGCTCTGTAGTCATTCTCCCTTCGTTACAAAATTTCTCTCTGAGAAATATATTGAAATAACAATTTTTCACAGTTCCTCACACATGCTAGAAGAGTGAGCAGAGATATATTTATGGATTTCTCTCCCATCAGCACTTTCAATTTTATGAAAGTTCAGCATATTAGCATAAAGCTTATGCTTATGTTTTTTTTTCTTTTCTTACACAATATGAAAGGAGAACTGTCCTGAAAACATATACCTCAGTTATAAGCATACCGTTCAAAATGTGCTTGATATGTATTAGAGAGAATGGGGAAAACTGTGGTGAAGAAAAATGATTATAAGATAAAACCGTTGGTAAATGCTGGAACACATTACATCCATTTCAGAAGAATGTTGTGACAGCTGTTACATACTGAATTTAGTAACCCATTTGCTGTTAAGAATTCTGTCCCAAGCTATTGCTTGCAAGCAAGGAAGAGCATAATGATTAATGACAAGCAAAAATGGCACCGGCTCTGGGATGGAGATGTTTGCACACAGATCTTAGGCCTCTTCTTACCTGCAAGTTTGGTCTGGACACCTGAGCAGATTTGCCTTTTTTTCTACCTTTACTCTGGTTGAGTATACAGTAGTAATCTTCCACATCTGCATGGGGAAGGAAAGAAAACCAGAAATGAGGAAGAAATACACCCAAGCAGTTTTGTATCTAGAGGAAAGAAAATATGATTCTGAAATACAGCAAAGGGTTTTGAAAGAGTGTGAATTGTGTAGTCTGTACCTTGTCAATTAATTTTCTTTGCATTATTACGTATAAAATGTGTTCTCCCTTAATGAACCATCATCCACATGTCTGCAGAGTTCCACCGTCAGAGGAGGACAGGTATAATGTGAGATCCCACAGATGTCTCTCCATTTGGTTTTGCGTTTTGTTCTTAAGAATATGTATTTTAAGACCAAAGAGGGCCACTGAATCATTTTATCTGAGAGACTGAGTGACATAAGCCAGGGATTTTAATTCTAGAATGTGCACAATGTCTGTAGCTTGTTTGACTAAAATGTTTCTTTCAGAAGGGTATCTGGTTTTGTTTTGGAGCCTTCAAGAGGTGCAAATCTATCGTTTCCATCAGAGTCACTGCCAGAGGTTAATATTCATCAGTGTTTAAAGTCAGTCACTCTTTAATGACATTAGCAATCTCATTATGCCTTTTGCTTTCATTTCAGGTTGTTTCCTGCTGTTCTCTTACTACCACAGCAGCAATGCCTTCCTTTTTTCTGAGTAGATGTTCATGTTTGTGGCAGCTGTGGGTTTAGCTTTCCTTTATCTAACCATGGTATTTCCTGTGCTCAAAAGTACCAGACCCAACATGTGCATCCAGGAAGCATTGCAATTTGCATACATGGCTGAATTAACTGGCCAGCATTGACCCCCAGCTCAGTCCAGTGCTCCCACAGTTCCCCCTTTATCCCAACCAGCTGGGTCATCTTGAATGCAGCCTACACTTCAGTCTGAACTAGCCACACAGGCCTTTTCACCATATTAGCTTGTGAGAACTGTATTCATTACCACCACCAAGATCTGCTTCCCTCTTTTCCATGAAGCATCGAAATCACAGAACAGTGGAGGTTGGAAGAGACCTCTGGATGGCTTCTGTTCCAATCCCATTGCTACCGGAGGGTCACCCAGAGCAGGTTGCTCAGGACTGTGTTCAGTAGGGTGTTGAATATCTCCAAAGATGGAGACTCCGCAACCTCTCTGGGCAACATGTGCCAGTGTTTGACCACCCTGACATTAAAGAAAAACACCAAACACAAACAGGACTTGTGGCATTCAACTAGTTATCATTCATGAGGTGGCAGCCACAGGTGAGACTGGTTGGTGATGCCAAGAGGGGGGTCATTCACCTGAGGCAGACAGCAAATTGCAATAGGCAGCAGGTGGCCAAGAACATCCTAGATGTAGTAAGTTTTATGTCACCAGGTTATTACAGACCTGTAGAAGCCATCCCTTAATCTTTACTTCCCAGGTTTGCACAGACAGCTAAGGTCTCTTGCTGCCTCTTGAAATGCACACATACAAGTCAGACCCAGTCATTTGAAAATGCCACTTATCTTCTATGCATGTCTCTATAAAAATTTTAAAAATCAGTGTTACGAGCATCAACGATGGTAAAGAAATTACTGTTTCAGACTTGGAAATTGCTTTCTTGCCTGCCAACAAGTGTTTGGTGAGATGAATTATTGGAACTCAGTCTTCTGGAAAATACACACCTTTGCAGATAGAGACAATCCAGATTGCTTTACAAAAACCTGATCGACCTTGTTAGAATTCTGTGAAGAAAATTCCCTGTTCTTACAACAGTGACAACTTTTGCTACAAAGACTTCCTTTTTTATCTGCTGTTCTTTCTCTGTGCTTTGTAAACTAGCACATTGTTCCGAGTGCTTGCCTTAAGGTGTTACTATGCAACTTGTGGAAATTAATGTTTCCCTATTTAAAAAAAATAAAGAATAAAAATTCATTGCACTTTTGTCATTCAAAACCTGTAACTTATACAGGGCCCTAAACCAGCTCCCACGATCTTCATTGCCCTTTGTTCACTTTGATGTTTTTTGTTTAATAAGCATGTGGATGAGTGTATACACAGTCTCTCATATTCCCTGGCACCTTCTCTTGGCCAGCAGCACCCTTGATGCCCGTATATGGGAGGCTCTGGTTTTGTTCCTGCATCTCTGGCTGGAAGAGAGTTTCAATTCGTCTCCAGCCAGTTTCCCTTTGTGCAAGCCCTCTGGGATCACAGATATTTCAGTTTTCCCAAGAATCCTCTCAGCCTCTCCTTTTCATAGGCACTATCTCAGTTTTTCATCTCAGCTCTGGCAAATAACCACAGTGCTAGTTTGGAGTGCAAATTCTTGTTACTACTAGAAGGGATGATGATCCAAGAGGCAATGGCCTCAAGTTGTGCCAGGGGATGTTTAGATTGGATATTAAGAAAAATTTATTCTCTGGAAGGGTTGTCAAGCACTGGACCAGGCTGCCCAGGGAAGTGGCGGAGTCACCATCCCTGGGGGTATTTAAGAGATGTGTAGACGTGGCACTTAGGGACATGGTTTAGTCATGGACTTGGCAGTGTTGGGTTAAAGGTTGAACTCAACCATCTTAAGGGTCTTTTCCACCCTAAATGATTGTGTGATGCATCTGTGTGCTGATTGTTTTTGCAGTTTCATTAGCCACCTTCATTAGCCACCTTCACCTGGCCTCTTCTCCAGCACCATGCATTCAGGTCGGAAATATCAATGAACTTGACAGAGCCTGAAAGAACACACAGACACCCTGGTTTTCTCATGTGCACCCACCTGGATGAGTCCTGCTGTAAGGTGAGTATGGGAACATCGTTCCTCAGTCTTCTCCCTCTCCTGCACTTTGCTTTGAAGGCCTATATGTGACATGGCTATATGTGAAGGCCTATATGGTTACAATGGCTTTTGCTGCTACAGTTTATAAAGGAATTCGTGTCACTGGACTCACCTTCAGTCATCTCCTGTAAAGGGTAACAGAGAGCTTCATTAGCTCCATTTAAATCACTTTTCAAAGTGCCAGCAAGCTTACGAATCTGCTCAACAGCAGGAGATCTGAAAAGGCAATGAAAGAAGCCTAGTGGAGTTATTTGCTCTTATCTGCACCACCAGGAAGGAGAGGTGGCATGCTCACCCAGTGACAGCAAGCATCACAAGCGCACACTCAGCTCCACGCACAGTAATTCTGGCTGGCATTAAAGCGTTGTTCAGGTTGAGCTGCTTCTGACAGAGACATTTGTTCAATCATGAAATGTTTCTATCGGGTTGCAGGGTTCACAGCAGATGGCTGAATTACAGTGATCTGCAGTGCTAATGCTGAGAAATGATTTGTGATGGAGTGCGCACTTCTGGGGATTTGTGACTCAACCTGCTCATGTATATTACATGCTTTTCTCTTTCTCATTCCTTTTCACTTTCAACAAAGAGGAGTGTTCAGCAGTGCAGAGCCTGGCACCACCTGTGAGCAGAGGCTCCCAGACACGGCACCCTACACCCCAGCTGGTCTGTCTGCAGCCACATGCAGCATCCCAGAGTCAGGAAATGTTGGCTCAGCACTGAGTGGCCCATGAAGCGAAGCAGTGATCCCCAGTGTGCTCCAGCACTGTTCCCACACATTTCCAAATGCCTGAGACAGCAGGATGTGCACGCTGGACAGTGTCCCCTGCTGAGCTGGGGGCTGTGACTGTCCCACCGCCAACCCCACAGCCAGGACAAGTCTCAGGTGGAGGCTGGTCCTCAGCAAATGGTTCAGTGCCTGCTCCAATACAGGGCAGAACAGAACTGACAATTACAGCTTTACAGACCCGGGATGTGATCTGCATTGAGAATATTTCCTGGATATGCAGTTTTTTATTTGTCTCCATCCAATAATATGCATCTGTTTTTATGACTGTTCTCTCAGTGTGAACAAGATTTATAAAACATTTAAGAAGATCATGTCTACCAAGACAGCAAGGTGACCCTAAGACTTCTGAAACTTCTCTGGTGTGCCATTTATTATGCTTACAAGCTGAAAGAACCAAGATCCAGGCAGAGCTCAAGCTGTGTTGATATATATATACCTATGGTGCACACATACACATGCCCTGCAGGCATGCATGATCATGTAAGCCTGTAAAAACAGAGGAGCTGGAATGCCTGAAAGCCAGGCTCTGCCCAGCAATGACAGTTTGGCAGGTTTTCTAGCTAGGTGATCAAAGTAGGCTCCAGGATGACTTTCCAAACTGCTGTAGCAAAAAAAAAACCTGCCCAAAATACAATGTAAATGTTCATAAGGAAGGATAGGTTGGTGTGTGACAAGGTGCCATGATAGCCCTAGCATCAGACATCCCTAGCAGGGTTTTCCTGAAAGGACAAAAGGGTGGATGGGTCTCATACTGTGTCTTCTGAATTTCCTTTTCTACCGGTTTTGTGTGCAATACAAAACCTGAGCTTCACCTCAGCTGCTGTAAAGCATATTATTGCCTTTTCCCTTCTTTGGCATGCTAAAAGAGTGTTTGACCAGAGTCAGAGGCACAAGCATGAAAACATAGCTCAAGCAATGTGTCTCAGCGAAGGAATATCAGGGTAAAACATTTGAAGAAACATTTTAAGCCAACCCACCTCTCTTCATGCTATATCAGAGCCACAGGAGGCACAAACAGGCACGTTGCTACTGAAGCTTAGACCTCAGAAATCCCAGACTGTGTTATCAGCTGGTTCAAAAGCCTTCACTAGCACAACTTTAACCTGGCTCGTTAGGCCAGCACTAGACAGCAACTTTAATAGCCTGCCCTCACAGCAGTGTCACAGCTGAGTACCTCCACCATGTCCAACAGCAGCGGCCAGCTGCTTTGCACTGCTGGGGTAGTGCCTGGCCCCAGGCTGGGCTGGCAAGATGCTGCAGGACAGCATCGTCAGCTGCTGGGCATACGTGGCACGTGGCGACAAACAGAAAAGGAGGCTCTCTTCTCCAGACAGTCATCTTAGGCATCTCTTTCAAACTGGAACTGGAAAAAAACAAGCTTTGTGAGAGGAAAATTTAAATTAAAAAAAAAAAAAAAAAAAAAAAGAAAAAAGGGAAATTCCCAT